AAATGGTGGTAACGGCGTTACACAATGTCTTCAACTCTCGTGACTCTGCCACAGTGCCTCTACGACGGCGAAAGACGTCTCTCCGTTTGGAGAAACGTTGATCAGCGCAGTTGCACCAAATTATTTCAGGCGTTCCTCAACGGCTTCTGTTTACCGGTTCAGCAACGAATAACTGTGACGACTTCGAAATACTGAAAACTGAAAAATGCATAAAAGCGGTTGATTTGCCTCAGACGCCACAACAACGGCGGACATCATAATCGAAGCCGAGCCGGACGACCCTGAAGAAGGCTAGCGAGACGTCAGCCGAAACCTCAGTACCTGTCAATCACCTGAGTGACCAACTTATTCCTATGCGTTGTTGTGCATTTTTCAGTTTTCACCATTAACACCAATGCATGAACAAATTAGTTAATCTTTGGACTTCGAAATGCATATCTAATCTACAGCAGTTGAGACCTTGCAATCACGGCAAGAGCGGCTCTGGTCCAAAGGCTCGAAGGATGGCCGACCTACGAGCCAGTTGTCTCACAGCGCGACTGGTCCCCGATTTTTCCAACTAGTCATGTTTCTACCATCTGTTTTTGTTAATCATTACACGTCGTTCATTACCACACATACGATGGCAAGGACGGTTTGCTCTCTTATGATTGATATGTCAAAAATCGATATCTATACTGCGTCCATACAGCCTATGGGATAACCTGGGATAGTTTAGCGACGGCGTATTTCGGGTGGGATTACCAAACACGGGATGATGGTGGAAATGACGACCGAAATGTGTCGACGTCGACTTTCGAACATCTGTCCATCACTTAGCATCTGAACGGCCAAATTGCCAAGTCGGTCATGTTCCACGAATTCAGCTGGAATCTGAACATCGTAAAAGTCGGCGGAGCGTACCATCCAAGCAATCAAACTTTTTTCAGAGTAATAACGGCGGCTCCGGCTCTTTGCCCGAGGCAGTTGTAAACACGCTGTTTTCCGGACGAACGTTGACCGCCGCTTTATTAACGCGGAACGAATGATTCATAAGATCGAGTAGACTTCGCGGTTTTTGAATTGTTTTTCTTTGATGCGTGAGAACCGCGCTTTGACCCATGTCTCTTACCCTTTGTTGAAAGGTTGTTGACCCCGTGGACGAGACGCACGTTTCGGACGAAAGTAAACAATGTAGATTCATAATTTATCGGTTCGTACTTTTGCAAGTGAAACACGTAATCCAGGTCGGTTTAACCGAAAAGCCCTCG